AAAAAAAAAAAAAAAAAAAATGGTGTACGTACTTATTTTAACACTCACTGAACCTTATATTAAAGTAGTTGATGTCTTTTAACTGACTTTTTAAACATCTCAATCACTGAATATAAATACACACCACACGAATGCAGTTTCGTATCCAGATAAGCTCAAACTGGGCGCCTGGGCGCCTAGAGGGGAGAAAAGCTGACTTACGACATTTCTTGCTCAATAACTGTGAGTAGAGGGAAGGGTTTACCACATTTGATCATGTGTCCAGCTATCACAAAACATGTAGCGACAATCATGGACAAAAGTCGTGCGACAAATATTTGCACTTTTGGTGCTTTTGCACACACGCCAGACAGTCGTGCGAATACACTTTTACCTGCCTAACCTCTCCCCCCACCCCACATACAATGCTGAAGACTAGCACGTGCAATTTCTTTTGAGATTTAGCATTGTACTGGGTAGGGAGGGAAACAACGCGTTCTTAAAAGTACAGCAGTGCTTTTTCAAACCAGTTGTAAAACACAGAAAATCCGTTGGTCTACATCAGTGCCCCAAGGACTTTTGTACACAATTTATAAATTATGTTTTCGAGAAATGGAAACTAAACCAGTGCCTGGACTTCTAGAAAGCCCGTCTCACTACGTCCACACAAAACCTTCTAACTTCTAATTTCTCAAGTGTTCAAACCGCCGTAAAATCTGGAAGTTTTACCGCTCTGGTTAGACTTTCTTACAATGCTACAAGTCGAGCTGCGAAACCTTATCGAGCTAGAAGCGAGAAAAATGTCCGCCAGTTTGTCCAGATTGTGACGTGCGCGACTAACAGGAAGGTAAAGGACTAAGCACAACCGCGAAGACCTTGCAATCCCCTTGCAATCCAAATATAGTTTTATATTCAATCACTTGAAAAAGAAACTGGACAGCTATATCAAATAGGAAGGGCGTGGGAAAATTAATATCAAGCCAGTAAACCTCAAGGGACAGATTTTATGGCGGCCTTAAAGTTTCAAAATTTACAAGCATTTGTAAGCGAAAGGACTTAAGATGGAAAGGGTTGTTCTTCCCATACAATACTCATTTCAAACGGCCGTTACAAAATTGACCCTTTAGAGATAGAAGCCAGAGAATTTACGGAACCTGTAAACTGTTGAACAATCAAAACGTCCGCTATTGAGGTGTGTGGATTGGTTTTGTTTTTGTCTGTTGCACCCTATTGGTCCCTATAGTCCACAGCGTGTTTTTTTCCTTAGTAAAAGGCGAG